GGGGAATGTCCTGACGGAGCGTGATGTATGGTCTTGGTCCAACACCACGATCTGATGTTGCCTGGCCAGTGAGAAGATAAATAGACTTATTTGTTCTACCCTCCAAGTGTCTTATTTCTGCGATATCTTTCAGCGAATTTCAGCATTCATGGACAGTTTTCAGATCCCAGCACGACCAGCTGCCTTGAACATGTTGGGGTGTGTGAAATCCCTAAGGCACACAAGTGCACTCAAGCAGCTTCATCTGTTTGACTCTTTCTTGTGCTCTTTGAAGGCATGGTTGTCTCCTGGCACCCAGTTCTTACCTGTGCTGGGTGACAAAAAGGTGTCACCACATCAGCATTAGATGCTTTAATTTGTTGCAAGTCGAGGAAGAAATAGTCCTGTGTCTCTATTTGCCTTATCTGGGCTCAGGCTAAGTTAAAAAAAATAAAATGCTGGTCACATAGGTGTTCTGCGTTCTTTCTCTGCTGTTGCTGCTGTGTGGCCCACTGCTCAGCCCTGCTGGGGCTAGGCTGGGATTTAATCAGAATTAAGAAATGTAGAAACTGCAGGCCAGTGGCTGTTGAGTATCTTGGCATTACACAGGAGAAGTACTACCGATAAAACAAAGGTAGACCAGAGATAAGAACAGGGCAAAACATCAGAAAAGGGGCGGACACATTTACAGTACAGCTGGTACCGTAGCATTTTTTGTTAATTTTCCAGTTTTGCATTATTTTTGTCTGAGTGATTATCCCATCCTTTCCTTCAAAGGATGTGGTAAGCTGACATCTGCTTATCATTTATAAAGGTACTGGTGTAAAGAGATTCTAGGTAGTCGGGCATAACTTTATTTTATTTACCATCTTAAAAAAAATAATCTCATATTGGTCAATCATTTTCAGGAGAGCCTTGCCAGGAGAAAAGTAAAAATGTGTTTCAATAACCCATTTGATTTTTTTTTCTTTTAAAGTCCGAATACTTTGTAATTGTGTAAATTTTAGAGATTTAAGCCCTCCCTAATTTTCATGAAAGCATTTTTAAAATTATATTTACCAGTTCAGGGACAAGGTCGAGTATGTCGTGTCTTCTTTGCAATTGTTTTTTGAACACTGGGTGACAGTTGCATTGCAGCCAGTCCCCTCACCTGGGTGCCATGACAAAGCTCACTGAACAGCGGGGGACAGACGTGACGCTGAGCCAGGACGTCGTTCTCATAGAATCATAGAATGAATCACAGAATGGTTCGGGTTGGAAGGGACCTCAAAGATCATCTAGTTCCAACCCACTGCCATGGGCAGGGACACCCTCCACCACACCAGGTTGCCCAAAGCCTCATCCAGCCTGGCCTTGAACACTTCCAGGGATGGGGCATCCACAACTTCTCTGGGCAACCTGTTCCACTGCCTCACCACCCTCTGAGTGAAAAATTTCTTCCTTATATCTAATCTAAATCTGCCCTCTTTCAGTTTAAATCCATTGCCCCTTGTCCTACCACTACACACCCTTGTAAAAAGTCCCTCTCCAGCTTTCCTGCAGGCCCCCTTTAAGTACTGGAAAGCTGCTATAAGATCACCCCAGAGCCTTCTCTTCTCCAGGCTGAACAGCCCCAACTCTCTCAGCCTGTCTCCATAGCAGAGGTGCTCCAGCCCTTGGATCATCTTCGTGGCCTCCTCTGGACCTGCTCCAGTAGCTCCATGTCCTTCTTCTGTTGGTTCTCAGTCCCTTGTTCCGTGAGGCCAAATTTCCTTTCTGCTGAGATCGTCTGTCAGTCTTAAAAAATAAATAGCTTGTATTTTTACAGCAGTGTGGCTGTATTAATGCATTTATCCTCCAAAGATAAATGCACAGTTTTGCAGTGTGCAAACATGAGTTGCTCCAATCCAAGACTTCTAATAGATTTAATCTTTTAATTAATCCTTTAATTGTGCCAGTGAACTCATGCCAGCTTGCTTTTTAGCTATTGGATGTATGTAGGAGTTTACTGGGACGATGAAGTGACTTAAAACAATGAATCATTTATAGGAATCATTATCCTCTGGGTTTGTCCCTGATCAAAATAATAATAGTAATTAAATAAAATGTTGTTTCTCATCCTCATGTAAAAGAGCTCTTGTCTGATGGTATTTCTCACTTATTTGTTTATATGTAGCCAAAGTTACAAGTCTCAAGTTTACTAATTCATGCCGTGTCTGATTTATTTTGTCTCCATAATCTGTTTTCCTAACTACCACATGGTTCGGATTTTTGTGAACTAATATTAATACTAACATATTAGTATTTTAAAATACTAGTAATCCATTCTGTATTTCTGGGAATGAGATAGTTAAAGATTATTTCTCTTAGAGATAGTTATGTTATGAATTCTCAGCTCCTACTGGCTTGTTTTTCTAAGGATTTTTCACTGTAAACTTCCGGTAATGGCTCTATGAGAATCATAGAATCATAGAATGGTTACAGTTGGAAGGGACCTCAAAGATCATCTAGTTCCAACCCCCCTGCCATGGGCAGGGACACCCTCCACTACACCAGGTTGCCCAAAGCCTCATCCAACCTGGCCTTGAACACTTCCAGGGATGGGGCATCTACAGCTTCTCTGGGCAACCTGTTCCAGTGCCTCACCACCCTCAGAGGGAAAAATTTCTTCCTTATATCTAATCTATTTCTGCCCTCTTTCGGTTTAAATCCGTTGCCCCTTGTCATATCACTACATGCCCTGTAAAAAGTCCCTCTCCAGCTTTCCTGTAGGCCTCCTTTAGGTACTGGAAAGCTGCTATAAGATCACCCCGGAGCCTTCTCTTCTGCAGGCTGAACAGCCCCAACTCTCTCAGCCTGTCTTCATAGCAGAGGTGCTCCAGCCCTTGGATCATCTTTGTGGCCTCCTCTGGACCCGCTCCAGCAGCTCCATGTCCTTCTTGTGTTGGGGAGTCCAGAGCTGAGTGCAGTATTCCAGGTGGAGTCTCACGAGAGCAGAGAAGAGGGGCAGGATCACCTCCCTCGAGCTGCTGGCCATGCTTCTTCGGGTGCAGCCCAGGGCACAGTTGTCTTTCTGGGCTGCCAGCGCGCATTGCCCACTCATGTTGAGCTTCTCATCCACCAGCAGTCCCAAGTCCTCCTCAGGGCTGCTCTCAATCCATTCTCTGCCCAGCCTGTACTTGTGCTTGGGATGAGCCACTAATACGAGAAGCACTGTATAGGAACTATTCCTATAAACCACAACTATCCTCTCTCTGTTTCACACTGGACATGTTGGCCACTTATTTTGCATTATTCCATAATGCAGAGTTAATGATAAAATAATTAGGCACACAACCAGTTTAGAAAGCTCTAGAGGCTCATGTATTGGGCTGTGAAAGACTGTATCTTCAGTGATGATTTCTCTCTGTGCTTCTTCCACTCAGATTAAATGGAGCTACGTGCTTTAAAACAGCAAAAACATTTCTGTTATCAAGCTGTATTTATTTTATATGTGATACTTTGACATTAGCATTGACATTGAAAGATGAAAGTACGTGCGCGTTGCTCGTGTATGTTTGAGGCTTCAAGATCTCATGGCCTTAACAAAATTTAGCTTTGTGTTTAAGTTGAAGCATGTACTTGAGTGCTCTGTTAGACTGGGGCATTCAGGAGGAAGGGCAGAAACATCCTGGATGTAGTTAAGCTGAAGTCACTTGACTTGGCCTACATGTTCTCTCCCTCCAAGCTAAGTCAGCAATAGTCACATTCAAACGATGTGTGCACGCCTTTCATTTTTTGGGTGGTGGTAGAAAAATATTTCTTAATGGAAGTGGAAGCAACTCTGCTGAAGTAAATGACTTGCAGTTGCTCTGGCTTAACTCTAGAAGGAATTTGCTTTATAAATAATAATCTTGAATTATTGGAGAAGTGCTGTGAAATCTGAAGGCTAGCAAAACTGAAAAGAGCAGGGGGTGATCATTTGGCTTTGTTTTGCTAAGGCTTCCAGTGCTCTACTTTGGCAACCACGCTGAGATTTCCTACAGGGATAGTTACGCTCTAACTTCATGTCTCATATAGAGGGAAAACGTTTGACTTTTTTTTGTCTTGAGACTCAGACTTCGTGTGTGTTTATTGTACAGCAATAAGCCAAATCACTTTTCTTGACACCCAAAAAAGAAACTCTCTCCTAATTGATCATTGTAAGAGACAATGGATGTGAATAAACAGGAAGTGTGAGATGAAAGACTTCAGTGCTATAGAGCATCTCATGTAAAAATACTCGTTTTTTCTGTAGATGTGTATTTGAAGATCTTTCATAGTTTGTCTTTTATCTTTTTGGTTGAAAATAACGAGCAGAGTGACCAGCCCTGACCCAGCCTGGTTTAGCACTGCTAAATACATTTATCCTTGACCCATTCGGTGCCGCCATGTCCTGAGCTGAAGGCAAAGTGAGGATCCAAAGTAAGAGTTTGCCTCCTTGGAGTGGGGAATGGTTTCACGTAACAATGTTTGCCGTTAACAATTATTGCTATAAAATGAATGAAAAATATTGAGTGCTGTTAATGTTTGGACCATTTTTAAACAGCTAATTTGGGGAGATGAAGCGTTGCTGTAAAGCGAAGTCGTCACTTACATGAATAAGCAGTCACTGAATGCTCATTTCAGTGCCATACTCTGTCACTGGGATTTTAACTGTGTCTGGCCTGCTCTTAAATGTAATTATTTTGTAATTTTATGAGATTTTAATTTCTTTGAAGCTGTTTTTTTCAAAATATATTGTAAGGTTTAACTGTCGTGGTTCATAGGGCATGAGATTTGCAAATGTCTATTTAAAACATGTTTCATTGATTTGTGATTTATCTTACTTGAAATACTTTGAATCACTTCTGCTTCACCTTAGGCAATCAGTGTTTTCATGCACAGCTTACAAACACTGTATACATTTCCTTGAAAATGTGTTGTGGTATTTTCATGTTGTAATTCTTGGGTTTCTCAGTGTATTACTTATTTTTTGGTTTTGCATTAATGTACTAAGTTGGCAAAATTCCTTTTTGTTCCAGTGCTTGACTGGTGAGGAAATTTTCTCTTTGCATGGGATACCGAACAACAGTCACGTGTCAAATTCAAGCTTCACTACAATATGTCCTGCCATTTTGCAACAGCTAATTTTTCACCCATGTGATCATCAAGAAAACTTTGTGGATACGTCTAAACCAAATTCTTTGCAAGGTTAGTTAATATTAATTGGATTAATACTGCAACTGGAGTGGAGTTTTCTTAGGAGGATGGGAAGCATTCATCTATGCATAACAGGAGTGTCTTGTTTAGGAGGATGTAGTTGTAAAGTGAGAACATAAAATTAAAATGCTGTTTCAGGTCAGCGGACTATCTGAACAAATACCCTACCTATTAACAGTGGTCTACTAAAAAATGTTTTAGAGAAAGGTGAAAGAACCAGGTAGGGAATAATTTGCCCATTAAAGGAAGGGTCTTTCTGACCTATTCCATTTGGGTAATGGTTCGTGCCTTGAAGCATCAGGTAGTGGCTGGTTAACCACTACCAGCTAGTAGCTGGTTAATATGGGAGAAGGTGGGAGTATGGAAGGGAAGCTCGTGCAGTGGGAGGCCAGACTTAGTGAGATGTGCAGGTATCAAGGCAACTCAAGGTAAAATTATTAGGGGACTGAATTTGAGAGGAATTGTTTGCAGGTGGGAGTCATGACATCAGGGGAGCTAGTGACTGTTTTATTGAGGAAAAATACTCATGTTCTTTCCAAACTCTGATTCCTGCTTTCACATCATCTTCTGTGCTGCCCCCTCCACATGGAATATCCTGACGTGGCTGAGTAGCCTTAATGGTCCTTCCTCTGATTTTTCTCACTAATATTTCTGTATTTATTGTGCACTGTACCATGCAGTAGAAAATGTAGGATGGGAGATTCAGCTGATTAATGAAGTCACTTGTTGCACTGATAAGGATCAAATATGTAATGGCCTATTTATTTGATTCATTATTCCAGATAAATTTATTGTTCCAAGGGAGTCAGCTGAATTGAAGTTAGGATGTTGGATGAGTAGATGCCTAATGGCAGTGTCTATGAGCAGAGATGCAGCAGTGCTTTTCATAACTTTTGAAATATTAGTATTAATAACATTCTGATTGATACAAATGATGATATTTATTAAGAATTGTAAATAATTCCTAGACGTTAGCTGTGCCAGTGAATAATTAGAATTATATTTGATTAATCACTCAAACCCTGGCATCGATTTACTATGGTTGTTCTAGATTGCTTACACCGTGTGACACCATATATTGTCAAGAAGTCTAGAATATCTGCACAGGATGGTAGGATCTGTCTCTGTTTTTCATTTGGGGCTGTTTAACTAGGTTATACATGGAAAGCTTGACCTGTAGTTAACCTCCTAAGCTATTTAGGCCATCCCTCTTGTTTTTCTTTTATCCTGCCAGCTCAGAAGCAATGTCCAGTAGCCAGATAAGCAAGGCAGCCTTCTCCCTGCATCTCCCTTGGCTGCAGCACAAGAGTCGTAGAATCATGGAGTAGAATCATAGAATGGTTTGGGTTGGAAGGGACCCCAAAGATCATCTAATTCCAACCCCCCTGCTATGGGCAGGGAAAACCTCCACTACACCAGGTTGCCCAAAGCCTCATCCAACCTGGCCTTGAACACTTCCAGGGATGGGGCAGCCACAACTTCTCTGGGCAACCTGTTCCAGTGCCTCACCACCCTCTGACTGAAAAATTTCTTCCTTATATCCAATCTAAATCTGCCCTCTTTCAGTTTAAAGCCATTGCCCCTTGTCCTATCACTACACGCCCTTGTAAGAAGTCCCTCTCCAGCTTTCCTGTAGGCCCCCTTTAGGTACTGGAAGGCTGCTATATGATCACCCCGGACCCTTCTCTTCTCCAGGCTGATCTGCAAGGCCCATGGTTAGGGTGTGGTACATAGTGGTACCTGTTTGATTCACAGAAAGGCCCAGTGTCAAGTGCAGATGTTGAGTTACGCACACCCCCACCCCATCACAAAATGGATCTGTGTCGTGGCAGCGTTGAGGCTGGCTGGTTTCAGTTACTGCCCGTGAAGCAAAATCCTCTATGCGTGCTTCCAGCTGGGCTTCTGTGAATTTCCTGACCAGAGACTCCCACACACTTAACAATATTCTGTCTTCCAAAATATGAACGGACAAGACATACAGAAGAAATTAGTACAATAAGCTTTATGGGGCAGCTGCTTGCAATCAAAACAAGTGCTGCTGAAGCACGGTAAAAGTTAGAAGGCAGCATATAGCATGTCCTTTTCCTTGGGGTTTGTATAACTCCTGGCTAACCTAGCTGACCTTAGGGGCACACTCCTGTCCTTCCCGTTCTTGCTTCTCTGAAGGTGTTAGGGAGGTGTAGAGAGCTGCATGAAATAGCTGGAAGTGCCCAGTTGCATTCCTTCTGTACAAGATGAACAGGTTCTGTTTTCTCTGCTTGGCTTCTTCAGAAAGGTATCCATACCTGTATGTCCTCTTCATCCCGGGACAGGGCTCAGAAGGAGCCGGAGCCTGCCTCAGGAAGGCCCAGAGCAGTTGTCCCCACCTCCTGTAAGGAACACCACCAAGCAATGGTGTTCTAAGGGCATCTTACTTGTACTCCTGACACTTTATTTCTTGGATTTCTTGTGGCTTTGAGTATCTTGGCTGCCTCTTTGGGGCTACAGTTCTAGAGACAGAATGAATGATGGTAGTTGGCAAAGGCTGACTGCGCCACCAGGTTCAGGAGACGAGAGTGTGTCCAAAGCAGAGTGCCCTGCCCTGAGATGTGAGGTCAGACCAGCCAGCTTTCTGCGATGCATGGACTCATAAAAACCTTAGTGTGGATGGAGTCCTAGTGAATGAAATCGATTTTAAGTCAGCAGTGCATACCTGATTTTGTGAAATGCAGTCCATAATGCAGTAATTTTGGCAACATTGGTTGTCTTGGAATGTTATAATTTTTTTTTTTTCTTCCTAATTTGTGGTCTTTTTCTTGAAGTACCAGTTCCTGTAGTTGTGTAGTTATGGGATAATATACTTTTTTCTTCTTTTTTCTTTCCAATTACACTTCAGGTCTTTCTGAACTCAAAGAAAAGCTTGCCACAAATCCCAGGAGTGCCTTCCTGGAGAACGTATGAGAAAAATCTTAGATTTATTTTATTCCTTTAAAAATTTCATTAGTTTAAACTAGTCCCCATACTACTGTGGCTCATTGCAGGATCTGTGAAATGCCTAGGATGGATAATAATTTATTCTTTCATTGTCTGAGGTTATTTAATCACTTATTTTAATTCTTCCTTATTCTTTCAGTTTGAGTGAGTAAATCAGAAACAAAGTATTAATACGGAAAATCCTAAATTCTTTGGGCCATCCAGATCTAGGACAGATTATTAAAAGTAAAATCACATCTAACTTCTGGCACTCCTAATCTCTGATAAATCAGAAAGCAGAAGGGCTTTTCCTTTTACATTTTTTTTTGTGACAAAAGGAGATACTACACACGGTGGATTAGAACATGTCCCCCTGTTTGTGAGCACAGGTCCTTTTGTATGTTACAAGACGTCTCCCAGTGCATTAAGCATACAAAAGGGTGACACTTGTGTCATGTATAACACACACTTCGAGTTAAGTGTCCCACTATGTTTTGCTGTTCTGAACACAGAGTGCAGCATGTAAGTTAGATCATTTGTTAGTGAAACGTACAGCATCGTGAGAACTTCTCTCAAAATTTGGCAATAACCTGTTTTTCTGTGCTTGGTTTTAAGTTCCATTCTTGTATCGTTTTTGTCATCCGCTGATTTACAGACACGATTTGTAAATTTATCTTCTTTGTCTTTTGTTGTAAAAAGTAATTAGTACGAGCTTTTTTTATTGTAATTTTTGAAACTTATTCTAATTTCCTCTGTCTAATGAAGTAATTTGGGCAAGTACACTAATTGCTTCATATGTGATAAATGGGGGTTTTATTTTGTTAACTCTGTTTAAAATGTGCATTTTGCACAGAATAATGTGTAGGAGTAGTCTGCATACTAAACTGAGAGAGACTTGTGCTTCTGTGGCAATCCCAAACTGTAAACAGTGGTTTGTGACTCAGGATGGCATTGGAAGCCAGTTTGTTTATTATAGACTTGATTTCAAAAAGATATTTACAAGCTTAATTGTCATTTATTTGAGTGGAAATTAAAATCCTGTTTAGCTTAGTGGATCTACCCATATCTAATTGTGTTTTCCCTCTCTCTCTCTCACTCTCTCAAAAATGTCAAATGAATGTTCTAATTGGCTTTGATTTACCTTCTGCAAATGCTTTAAATGTTTCTAATGCTTTCTGTTCTTGACATAATATAAAATTCATTACATATAACAATTGTGACACTGTGCAAACGAAGTAGAGCCATCCCAGTTGCAGGTGAGGAATCCAGCTTAGTGTGTTTGCTGATTGTGTTACAGGAAAGTTGGGCTGCAGATCATAATCTGATCTGTTGGTTTCTGCTATGCAGAAAGGAATTTCTGGTAATTTCCCTGCATACATATTGTAACATAATGATGCAATTTTCTGGATTATACCAAACTGTTCCCAGATAGCCAGCATTGTGTTGGCTTTGATTATTATCTGTGTTTAATTTTTGTAGACAAACCCACTGTCTGTGTGGATAACTTTGGGGTTCAGTGGCATCACTCGAGGCAGCGTTGCAGACCTCTTCAGTGCGATGTTCAAAGCTTTGCTCTGTGCTTACGGGGGGACTTGAGATGTCACTGGGAGAAACAGTAGTCCTGCACAGAGGCACAGCTTCGTGACGCTTATGAACAGCAACAGCAACCACCCCACTCCCTCCCGCTGTGATTCAGACTCCAGAATGATTATGGGATGGCTTTGTCCAAGTCCTGGTGTCTGAACTATGAGACTGTGCTTATGCAGAGGGAAGCTAAGGGATGGTGAGCCCCCATACATTTGCTGCTTCTTAGGAAAGGTTTTCCCCATAAAATCACATGTCTATCTTTTTGAACCTAGAACCTGCCTTTTTTAATATGCTTTCATTTCTCTAATTGTCTGTGCTGTCAGCTGGCTGCCCCCTCACCTGTTAGACCAGCAGCGATGGGCAGTGTTTTCAGCCAGCAGAACTACTTTGAGTTAGAAGAGGAGGAGGAGTGTTAGGAACAGAAAGTTACTACCTCAGGATGATTTGAAGGAGTAATCCTTCAAGGGTTTGGGTATCTAATACAGCCAAGACAGCTGACTTTCTGTCTTGAAGTTCCTTAGGAGTAAATGAAAATTGGGTCTAACCTTGGGACTAGGAAAAAGTTTTGTCTTATCTTGGGGCTGTAGCTGCTTTGACTGTTGGACTAAGCCTTAATTTTTACTCTTCACTGACTGTAGAGAGATCTGATTTATACTAGCAACATCTGGGCTATCCCAGATCTTATACTAGCACAGTTTCCATTTTTAATGTAGTAGTCCCAGACAATGTTTCCAGATATTTCCTTTCTGCAGGTATGCATCTTGTATCTGTACGTTTTAAGATTTTTGTATTTGTGAAGTATAATTTAAATCAGAGAACCACTCTTTTCCCAATTCCATGCCATTTTAGCTGTTACAAAGATCACAAACAGCATGAAGTGAGTGTTACACTAAAGTAGTTTATATTTCTGTTTGTTTGTCCACAGTTTGGGGATTTGGGTTCCTGGCTGTGACTATCATTAACTTGGCATCACTTCTGGGCTTGATTTTAACTCCCCTCTTAAAGAAGTCATATTTCCCCAAGGTTTTAACCTACTTTGTGGGCTTGGCCATTGGTACTCTCTTTTCTAATGCAATTTTCCAGCTCATTCCAGAGGTAAGTAAGGATAATCATTATTTGTTTTGCATACTACTTTCTAAAGTATATTGATTTTAGAGGTATGCTGCACTGGAGTTCTGTGTCTGGGTTGCAATCTCCAGAGAGTTTTGGGTGGGCTTCAGTGCCATTAGCTACCATCTCTTTCTGGATGGGTAAGCAGAAGCCATCGAGATCTGTGTCTAGTTCTGCCATGGGAAAGACCAAGGGCTATTCTGCCTCCAGACGAAAAGAGAAATGCATTGAATAAAATTCTAGTGAACTTTAATGGGCTACAGGTTAGACCCTTCTCACTTGGCACTTTATTTCTACATTCTGCATGTAAAATTCTACTGAATTAAAACACTTAATTAAAGCATTTAATCCAAGTTAAAAAAAATATAAAAAGACCAGGATCTTTCATAATTTCAGCCTCATGGAAACTCGTGCTTGGTAGAGGGACAGTCTGTATTTTAGAGGAGTATCTGTGTGTATGGGGGGTTGGTTTGTTTTTCTGGCAACGTACTAAGATTACAAACTGATTTGTATTTCTTTTTTTTCACTGTTAGGCATTTGGGTTTGACCCCAAAGTAGATAACTATACTGAGAAAGCAGTCGCTGTGTTTGGTGGATTCTATATTCTCTTCTTTGTGGAAAGGATTCTTAAAGTGATATTGAAGATCTATAAACAGGTAATGAAGCGTATCACCAACTGAACAAGTCTTGCCTGAAAGCACCTGTTATATTTCATGAGGCATTTGATAGTTTAGTAAAACGTGAGGGTTTTGTCATTTTATCTGAGGAATTCAGCCTTGCCATGTGTTCTGATACATCTATTTAAAATCCATACGGATACGGGAAGCAATCTCCCTTTTTTGAGGGAGTTACAAGCAGACCTGGGGATAGAATCCAGATGCGAGTGTGATCTGCTGTCATTGGCATGTGCTCTAGTTGCTCTCAAGGGCCACGTCGTAGCTGTGCTATCTAAACACAGCAGAAAAGGTGGAAATGTGTAACAGCTGGAGAGAATGGAATCTGCCCCTGGCACTCACCTTTGGGCAGGAGAAATCAATGTGACTTGTTAGTCATCTGTAAAGTGTAACCATGCTGCCAGTGCCAGAATCTCACCTTCAGTAACTTCAGCTCTGTGTCTCCCCATGCTCTGGTACACAGACCTGCTTTAGTGGCACTGCAGTTATCCATATTGCACAGGGCTCTGCTTCTCCCCAGGTGTCAGAGTACGTGTTTTTTGTGTACTTACATGAGCGAGACTGAGTTTATCTCAGAGAAGGGCCTCTCAAACTTCTTCGTCCTCTCTGCTCATGTCTTGCCAAGGAAACTGTCCTGTCTTGCTATTCTTACTTCACTTAAGGCCACCCCTCCCAAACTGTTGCTGATATTGAAGATTATAAGGATTAACTGTCCCTCATTTGTAGTTACTGCACCAAAAAAAAAAAAAAAATAGAAAAAATGAATTTGTTGCCCTTTATTTTTGGGAACAGTTGACAAAGGGTAATAAACTCTATTTGACAAGCAACCGTAGATGACTAGCAAATGTTGATCACTTATGGTCAGGTGTTTGGCTTGGGAGGTTCTATATAAAAGTATAAAAATGAAAAATCCTCGCATGTATTCTGATTAGCTAAAAGTAAGAGAAAAGTTAGGAACTGAGATATGTTTGGAGTTCATTTAAACATTTGAATGTTTACTGATGCCCATTTAAACATTTACTTGGTGTCGAAAGCAAGGCAGCATGAATATGATGCCACCATCTTTTCTTTTTTGGTCTCTGCTTTCTTACGTTTGTTATTTTGCTACTTACTTTTTGTTTGTCACCTAGACTGGCCATATAGACTCCGAAAACGGCGAACAGAATCGTTCCCAGGATAAGACTAACCCACCCAAACCACTATCGACCAGCAATGGGGGGACATGTTATGCAAATTCAGCTGTCATCGAAAGCAATGGAAATCTTGGTTTTGACAGCATCAGTGTGGTCTCAGCACAGGTATGAAAATTGTGTCCATTTATTTATTTTATCCCTGTCAATTATATAAGCACATCTGAGGGGAGAGTTAATACGTATTTTTATTACTTTTCTCAATTTTTTGTAAACTTATAACTTGCTTGAGCCTTATGAAAAAAATGTGGATTTTTGGGGCAAGCTTACGAAAGCTGAATGTTGCATTGAATTTATAGCCAACAAAAAGTGCTAATTGATATCAGTGTTGGGATGGGTAGGACAGAAATATATATTTAATCAGATATCTTGATTTTAATTAGTTTATTGTGATTTTGTTGTTGTTTTGCTTAAAAAGAGTGGTAGTGTTTTTTAGTGTTGCATGATCCATATTGTGTTCCTGACCACATAAAGCCATGTGAGAACAGCTGGTGTGTGTGAGAATCTGATTCCTCTGAATCAATGATTAATGAGGAAAACTAATACAGTGGCTTTCATGCAGGATATTGTGAGCACTGCTTCTGCTAGTCCAGTGTGTTTGGATACTGCAGGAATTATGGAGGTAGTATGTTGAGACAGAAGCCATTCCTCCTGGTTTAAGTATTATTCTCTTTCAGATGTGTTCTCTATGTTTCTCTGTGTTTGTTTTCATCCTACAAATATGACTTCCTTCTGTCTGAGAAGAAAATGGAAGCAGGAAGGGAAAGTTGATGTGCTCCTTTACCCTTCTCCCTGTACAGGGGGGAGCAGTACTATCCCTTATATTAAAAAAAAACAAAAACTCACAGAAACAGTTATCTGATGGCTAAGGCAGATTTTTTTCATAGTAGAGATTTCTGTTTTTACCACTCCTGTTCTTTAGCCACTGGTTGTGGGGAGCAGTGAGGAGCAGGAGAGGAAGTCAGAGGCAGGCCCTAACAGCTGGGAGAGAATCTGAGAGTTCTGCATTGACCCGGTAGGCTCACAGGGCATTTGACGCACACAGTTTAAAGTACCAACAGCATACTTGTCCTTACTATAGAAACGTCACGAAGTGTGGTGGAGACTGAGCATTTTAAAAAAATAGGAGAAACATGCTTAATAATTAAAATTGCGTGGGCACTAAGAGGGAATTAGTATTATGAGTGTCCCTTAACTGTATTTTGTAGATTTATAAAACAAACAAAAGAACCCTCCACTCTCTGTGGAGACAGTCATCTCCAGTGGCACGGGTGTTGTTTGTCTGCCTTGTTTACCAGAAGTTTTACCTGGATCTATTCCATTATTATGTTTTGGCTAGCCATCTGCTTATGTGTAACATAAACACAACAAAATCATACCACGGATTACAATAATAAAATGTAACTATATAGCGTTTATTTCTAGCAACTAGTTTGGATGTAGTGCTCATGATCATGAAGTATTGTAGGTCACCTCAAGATCCTTTGTGGAATACTCATAGATCTTTAATGTACAGTCTTGGCTTTAAGAACTTAGAATTTCACAAAGGTTCTTCCCCTCTACTTGTTCTTACGAAAATTCATGCTTTCCATTCTTTCTTCCTCTCCATTTCTCCAAAACCAGGAAGAGAATATGTTGTATTAAAACCTCCTGAAAGTATAGCAGGGTAAAATTCACTCTGGAGCCAAGGCTGGCTGCAAGGAAATCCCAGTGGCTGCTGATACTGGAGGTGGCAACAAAAAAGGCATCATTACTCTTTTTCTCCTCCAGGCAGGTTCAAAGGGGCCAGGTAGACTTCAGAGTCATTAGGGGGCAAGGGAGGGCCAACGTGCCTGAGGGCTTTTAGGGTAGTGCTATGAGGGTAGGTGTGCATTCAACTCTACAGGTATTTGATACTGATGAGGGAACCATTTGGCATAAGCCAATACATGCCTAATGGAATTTTAATGTGTCCTTGTAATCTGAAGCTCATTGGAGAGGGCAAACACAGCGTAGCCAGAAATCATCGTGTAGGCTTTGAGGAGGGAGTTTGTCTGATCGTGCCAAAGTGTGGTAGCTGTTTTCAGCCGTGGGGATCCAGCCATAGTCTGTCTTTTAGTGGCAGAACAGACTGATAACCAGAGTAAATCTAAATATTTAATCAGGCACATACTTTCAGATTTCACTTGCAGCAGTAACTGCAGCCTTGAAAACCTCTTTTGTGCTGACCCAAAATTTGTATCTACTATGCATTAAAATTGTATGGCTTGACAACAGTAACTTTGAATAAAAATTGTTTCAGAGATGAACTGCTGAAATATCTGTATCCTCTGGCACATGACGTTAGAGTTGTAAAACAAAACTTTGTGATGTCATTTATTTATGCTCTGGAGATGATGTTAGGGTTCCTTCTTGGTCCTGTGGGAACTTCCAGAGGACACAAAAGAACATTTCTGGCTCATGTCTGAGAGAGTCAGAGATGCATTAGAAATAGCAATAGTAATCTGATGAGATATCATAGGATAAAATAAGAGAATCTCTGTATAATTTCTTAAGTTTGAGAACAAAGAAGAGGCCATTGCTTTTAAAGAAAAGATTGTGTTCAGAAGAGCAAAAATACCAAGGATGTCTTTGGTTTGCCATAAACTGTGAAGATTCAAGTAATACAGAACTGCTTTAATAATTAATAAAAGTCAGACCTGATAGTCCAGCTGGGTATTGCAGAGCTCCTTAGCTGACATCTCTTCTGTGACTTCTACTAAACTACCATGACAAAGTGGGAACAGTCCAGCACAGAGACAGACATTGTTCATTTTTGCCTTTGAATCCTAAATTTGTCACTGGTCTGCCTTATCTTAAACATTAAGAATATCTATTAGTCGTTCATCTACGTCTATCGGACACACCATCTAGTAAAGTTTAGAATGTAAACCCAGACAAGCAATGCTGTTGTAATTTATGTAATTTATGAAAGAAGTCAAGACATTATCTAAAGTAGATTACAGGCAAGAATTTTTATACTTCAGAGCTGCGCAGTAAATGGCAGATAGCTGTATATATATTACAGAAGCCTCTCAGAAACCGATTCCTAATTTTTAATGTACAATTGTTTCTGCATTTTGAAAGATTGGATCAAGAAAGTAATTTTTAGAAGTAAATCAACACTGTTCTCCTAACCTAATTGTAATTACTAAAAAAAAAATAATCCATAGAAAAAACAACCCAACGTTAACAAATTTCTAGTTAGTTCCATTCTTGATGAGTTCAACAGCTAATTCTTAATAGTATCTTCTTACTCAATGTTCGTTGAGTAGAAGCTAGAAACATCCCAAGAAAGATCTGCTTTTGGCAGAAATCAGGACAATCTACAAAACAATGCCTCCATCAGTTCTAAGGCAGCTTGAAGGAAGGTCACCAGGAATCAGAAAAAAAACATAGGGGAACAGAACTTTGGCTCAGGGAGCTGGATGAATAAGTGGAAGAGCTTCGCTAATTGTATTTGGATTTTCTCATACTCATGTTTATTTTTACTTCCAGTTACCTAATATATGTATTTTGTGTGGCTTGCTTTAGAATATTTCTTCCTTGAAGTGGAGTTCAGGTTGCCTTTGTGGATTAAGAGAGAGGTCTGTTAATTCAAACAAAATTAGTACAAGTACAAATGAATAATCTCAAAAATGTAATTGGCATTGCTGGTATGTTAGATAATAAGTTGAGAGGAAAACCTCCAACAACGGAAGGCAAGCCTGTAGTACAAGTCTAAAACCTATGTGTTTGAGTCGGAAAGGAAACTCCCAATTTTTGGATGCCGTTGCTCATTTTCAAATCGTAAAAGTAAAATTTCAGGACTTCTTATGCACTGAACAGGAGCTGTAAGTGTGCTTTATGGCAGTCGTGGCACTGCTCAACCGAGGCTCTGTGAGCTCCGAGTTCCAAGTAGGGCAATAGACATCTGACTCAGAAATCCCTGACCTGAACTTTTGTCCTGCTCGAAGGCAGCTCCTACATACAAGGATGCAGTATGTCAGATAAGAGTCTGGTGAGCAAATAATGAGACAGACCTTACTGCTCTGTCATTCAAGATTTTTAAAGGAATTTATTAATCATTATATTTCCGTGAAGTTCAAAATTGCATTTGATATGGCAAAACTACAACAATTTGCAATGTTTGCTCTAATAACTAAGGACAATTTCTTGGAATAATCTGGGACCTTTTTGTATGGAGGAAGAGTCCTTGTCCTACAACAGAAGGAGAGGTGTATAAATGTGTCTGTGGGCTCACAGAAGTATATATTACTGCTTATGTGTTCCAGTAAGTAAGCACTAGTTAATGCCTTATGTGCAAATCCTTTTTTTTAGGGGGAAAATATTACAATGCTAGCAAATATTATGTAACTGCAACATATGTGCGTACAGAAATTTATCTGAGTGGATCATCAGGAATTTTTTACAGGAGGTTAGTTTGTGCTCCGAGCTAAAACGGCCGTTCCTTTTATCTGCTCCAAGTTTTTCATTATTTTATGGCACTGCATGTATAAATTACTTCCACTTCTGGAAGTGTGATTCATTGGCTTCTTTATTCAGTCTTTTACATAATTGATTTATGGTGGTGTTTTTTTTTCCAGGAAGAAGCCACTCAAGGCAACTTATGCAAGTGTCTTAAGGGGCTTCCACTGTCAAAGATTGGGACCATTGCTTGGATGGTGACGCTGAGTGATGCTGTACATAATTTCATCGATGGTTTGGCTATTGGTGCTTCTTTCACTTTGTCTCTGTTTCAAGGGCTTAGTACTTCCATAGCCATCTTGTGTGAAGAGTTTCCCCACGAACTGGGTAAGGAACTTCATTCAACATGTTGTTCACTGTGGAAATCACTGGTGTAGGAGGTTGTGCTGGCCAAATCTGGCATAGATTGAAAGAAAGTTCAGACAAATTAATGGAAAGAACATGCATCAAAAACTTTCCAAGCACCAAAATACACATCCAGCACAGGAGTTTTCCAAGTGCAGGCGGTGGAAGCAGGGAATGTATATTAGGGAGGTATTAATTGCCCTGTTCATATATGCTGCATGCACTGTTGTATTAATTGTATTGTTTTTTTAAATCATTACAGGTAGTTCTGTGTTCCTATACTCTTAGCTCAGTTGTGCATCACCTACTTGCTTTAGAATATTGCAGTTACCTTTAGTGTTGAAGGGAAATCCTCATGATTTACTTGTATGAAGAAGAAACAGCAGGGGTTATAATTTGCATACAAACCATATATTTTCTTCAGACTTCCTTTGAAATCAGAAAAAAAATCACAATGTAGTTTTCTGAAGATGTGTTTTGTTTTTTTTTTTTTCCTTTTCTTTTAGGAGATTTTGTCATCTTGCTTAATGCAGGAATGAGTACTCGGCAGGCTCTGTTTTTCAACTTTCTGTCTGCATGTTCCTGTTACGTTGGGTTGGCTTTTGGTATATTAGTAGGCAACAACTTTGCTCCTAACATCATCTTTGCCGTAGCCGGTGGAATGTTCCTGTACATCTCTTTGGCAGATATGGTGAGATACAATTTTATTTCCAGCTATTTATTTTTCTGCAAGAGAACAAAGACTGCACCAAGTCTTTCCAGTAGAATTTAGTATTTTGTCCTTCCTATGCCAGTGTTATCTAATTATTATTATTATTATTATTATTATTATTATTATTATTACATGTTAAATCATCAGTTATACCCTTAATGGAGGTGCACAAATAGTTAATGCTTATTCTTGAAACATGAAAGCCTTTCACTTCACAAACAGAGCTGATCAGATTATTACTGAGAAGGAGTTTTAGAGAGAGAAAAGCTTTTCATGAATTTGGGCTGGTTTCATCAAAGAGTTGAAAGTGTATAAATAGTTTGTTTCAGCATTTTAAAGTGGCAGAATATTTCACTTTATTATTGTTAAAAGATTCATTTGTCTCTATTTAAACAATATTTTAGAAGAGAAGCAAAAAAAGGTAAACGAAATGAAAGGAAATATTTAGTTTTGAGTTGAATGAAAGATGTTGTGTAACCACAATGGTAATTTTGAGGTTGTTTAGGTGAAAAACATGACTTAAATTCTATTCTGGTTTGAATTAAGCAGTGCCAGCCCCAGTTTCTTGGTTCAGACTAAAAAATTTGCTGAACTCTATTCAAAACAGTCTGTCTATCATTTGTTTTTTAAATTGTGCTAAGATCCAGATCAGGTTTAGACATTGGGAAATAAAATCTAGATTCACAGGCAGTCAGCAGTATTCCATAAGTTACTCTTATGATGATGTTTTATCTCGAGAGAGATCTTTCAAGAATTTTATTATGCTTAACTCAGTGTTGTAAGAACAGGTGTATCTGCCGAGGTGTTTAAACCTGCCACGTGAGAATCCATTTGAGTGGAGAACTGGAAGAGTGAGGCCTGAATCTGAAAAGATGTGAGACTGCAGTTTGGTTCTACGTGCATTTAAGAACTGTCATATAGTTATAGTGACTATTTCATTAAGTACTAGTATAGTTTAGGTAACAACATAGGATTTAATGAATAATAATGTTAGAGTTAAATGAAAAAAATAATTTTACAAGTTCGCAGAACCTTAATTGCTAATGCTTTACATTTAGTTTCACTGTTATATAACAAATAGTAGTGTACTCAACTATGATGTGTAAAAGTCATGGCATGAATTTAGAGTGCCTTAACTTAAATTTGTTATTGAATCCATCAAAGTAGGTAAAATTCTTTTCTTTGTACCTGTTCTGTTATCTCTGTTTCTCTCTCTCTCTGTCCCTCTCACTCCTCCCTCCCCGCAATCTCTCTCTCTCTTTATAGGTTTTTGGATTGTATCAGTTATCTATCTGAACTTTTCTTCCCCCTGGAAAGTCTGAAATAGGGTATTCAAGTGTTCTATACAGAGATCTGGCTCTCTGCTTTCTGTTACGATTTTCACACACTTGTGGGTTCCTTGTCCAGAAGCAGGTAGGATTAACTAGAATATCATTTCTTCCTTCTTTTCTTTTTGCTATTCTTTTTTCCTCCAGTATCGGGATAGCCCAGCCTCTGCCAGTAAGATCTCTGCGTGGTGAGGCCGTGGGCATGTGGGAATGTGTACACCGAGGGGTGTGCACAAATGAGCCTTGCTGCATGGCATGAAGCTGATCTGGTTTGTCTTTGTCTCTTGTGCAAGAGGGTTACGGAGCTCTGAATGATTTCTGGGAAGGTTTGGCCACTTCCCACTAACCTTAGCATGTTCCTCAAAGATTGCGTTACCTTCAATGATTGTTTTTGCCTTGTGAGATCAAAGAAAGATACGGCTTCTGACTCGCCCAGCCTGAAGGTTTCTGAACTAACACTGAAATTTACAGTCTTCGTTGCATTCTGGTTGTGCTACTCTCAGCTCAACAGGAGAAGAGTTTAAAGCTTGTTTGAGCACGTTTCTCAAGATCAACTGCAGTTGACTTTATCTGCAGCAAATACACACTGTGAATCACCCCATGTGGGGGACTTACTGCCAGTGCTCGTTTGCCATCATCTCCATTGGCTCTCAGAGCAATTATCTTTGTTTCTGCAGTTAACAGCACATCAGTCATCCTTTGCTGTTATGTTGCCATTAAGATCTCTGTTACAGAATGAAGAATCTCTTCATTACACTGTGATGTAATATTGCATGTGTTACCACGAGTTTCACAACATTCTTCTTCTTTCTTCCTTGCTTTACCACCACCTCATCAGCCCACCAGACCTTCTGTTTGTAACAGGTTTCTTATTTCTGAGGGATTGCCTACGTTTTCAGCTTCACTTCATTTGCTTATAGATAAAGCAGAAGAATCCTAATCTTCCATTTCCTGAACAAGGACTTCTCTATTTATACTAGTGAAGTAAAACCCACAATATTTAGCTATACAAGGGCAGCTCCTCCTAGCAACATATGGACCAACAATCGTACCCTAGGAGATTGCTGGAATCAAAAAGAGGAAATTTGCATGAGAGACAATGAAGTGAAATCACAGTAGAGAAGAACAAAACACTATTTCATTTCACCATCCTTGGTGAAGTGATTTTTCAGGGTAACTAGTAGTTAACCTAGTAGCAGTTAACCTTGTAGTAACTAGGTAACCTGTTCCTGTGATTGCCTTCAGCCTCTGTTAGTTCTACTATTTAAGCCAAAGTAGCCATATAGTTCAGTTCTTAATGCCTTAAGTTGTGCATGCTACCACGAGATGGCAATACTTACCTAAAAATATCCCTTTTTTCAGTTCCCAGAGATGAATGATATGCTGCGAGAGAAGGTGACAGGAAGAAAGATGGATCTCACATTCTTCCTTATTCAGAATGCTGGTTTACTAACAGGGTTTACTGCCATACTGATGATTACCTTGTATGCAGGAAATATTCAGCTGTGATAACGCAAGGGAAAATGGGATCAGTACTGAAGACATCAAGCAAATCACAAATGGAAGACACTTGAAATACATAAAGGGACATTCGTTTAATCTGCTTGGTTTTGAAACGGTGACAAGTCCCATCCTGTCCCCCTTGCTCCAAATACAGGAAATTCTTTAGGACTTCCAGACAATCCAAGTAGTAGGAGCTGTCGACTTCTGTACTATGCCAAAGAACCGATCCGAATGTTTTAATTTCTTCTTTAAATAGTCAGATGTGTCTGAACTGTCATAGAGAAAGGATGTTACTTGGCCAGTAGAATTACGCAGTACACGCGACCACATGCGATCAAGACCAAATGAAAGCTGAGATCTTCAAGGAAGATGTTTATTTAAAAGAGAAAAATGGAGTCTCATGTCTTTTTTTAACTATGATGAAGGCAAGCAGTTTCAAAGCTAGTTAATTTTCATTACTTTCGTTGCAGAATCCCCTTCCCTCACCAAAAAAAAAAAAAAAAAATCAGACTTTTTCAGAGTAGTTACTAATAAAGCTAAGATTTTTAATTACTAATTAACACTGGAAGGAAAGATACCATTTACTACTTTTGATCTTTTTGTAAGTGCACTAGGGAATTGTTGATTTGATTTGAGAATCACTTTTTTTGAATTAGAGGGAACCTGTGTTAAATTTATGACAATTTATCAGCTCTTAATATTTTAGAAACATTGAGTATTTAAAAAATGTTCAAGCATTTTGTATTTTATGAAAATAATAATATTTTATATTTAAGTTCCACAAATATCTCTTTTAAAAATCAGTATTTTAGGCTAAAATTTCTAAAGATCTATTGTTAGTTTTACAAAGTGGAATTTAGAAAAAACTTGAAAACTTGCTAAAATCAACATTCCAGTAAGCTCTTTTGTAATTTGAATGATTTGCTTGTGTGCAGTTGGGTGAAAGCAAATGATACTAAAATATGTAAACTCTTATCACAATCTGTTGCATGTGAACTTTCTAAATCATGCTTATATGTATGAGTTCTGAAATAAACAATTCAGCTACTCTGCTGTTGTAAGAAATGTACAAGGAAATTAATAAAAAGAAAATATTCCTTTTCAGTCACCACTGAGCTTTGAAGGAAGTGTTATTATTCTCTAGTAAGTCACTTTTTTTTCGTTGATATTTAGAGGAGTTTTACAACTTCAAAGAAAATACTGTTTCTTGACGTATTTCCTGGCAGCAGGAAGGGTCAAATCTTTTATTTTTAATTCATCATTAAAATAGATTTTCTATCAGGTAAAGGATTTATTTTATATTTTATTTGAATCTCATCTGTAATTACATTAGAAGAAAATAACTTCTCTAGGTGTCTGGTTGATAAACACTTTAAGGCAAACTGCACAGGACTGATAAATAATACTTATTTTAAAATGTTATAAATGTTAAAATGTAATTATAGTGGTCTATGATAATTTGCTATATGGAAAAACACTTATTAGTCACTTTTTGCCCTCTTGAGTTTCTCTGAAGAATAGTCCACCTACTCCCTGGTCTTTCCTTTGTTCATTCCTTGGATACAAGTTGTTTGTAAATGCTACTCTTGTGTATGACAAGGATGTATTATAGTAACTATGAATGTTCATTGACTTTTTAAAATTGTTTGACCATTACTAGTTCATCAGTTGTTATAATAATACACCTACATGGCGTATACTTTTCACCTTTAAATCCAAACATTTCCAATGGAGGCTTGATTTTTGTTGTCTAAGGAGGAAAAACTGAGAGAATAACGGATCATTGAAATAACCTACTTTTAGATCACGGAGCAGACTGGAGATGGAACGCAGTCTGATTTTCAGGGTAGTGCTTTATTCACAACCCAAATTGCCTTTTCTGCTAGTGGAATATTTCGTAGGTAAGAAAGATTTTTGATTTCTGTATCAGCTGGTTTATCTGTATAATCTTTGCTATTATGTTTGTCCAGTACATATAAATCTATTCCAATTCTAGGACTGCCAGTGTTTCCTAGATTTTGCTGGTGAAGCCAAGCAGGAAGAAACATGAGCAAACGCTAAAAAAAAATGTTGTTTTGTGACAAATAAGACTGGAGCAGGAAGAAACATGAGCAAACGCTCAAAAAAATGTTGTTTTGTGACAAATAAGACTGCAGTAAGTTACTCCCTTGGAGTAATTTGGAAATTAGTTAAGGGAAAGATTTTCATATTCTTTTTCATGTTCCTGTCATCTGTAACACTGTTCATCTTGTGTTCTGCCATCTCTTCAACCTTCTTTTCAACAGTTGTGCAAATTCTGCATATAATGTAATTTCAGAGGGCTCTTACATGGTTTTGTATTTATTATTTCCTTAGGGCACATTATCTTGACGTCTGATGTTAGACATTAGCCAACATACACTTGGGAAGATACTCTGTGCTAGCAATACTGTCGCAGATAGTATCTGTTGTAAATAGGTCACTGTCATGAAGTGTTCATGACCCAAGAGACACTTCAGTAAATTTCTCTAGAGGCACGGCAAAAAACACCACCAGAAAAGCCCCACACCTACGAAAGACACTAAAGAGGGAAGAACAATTGATTTTGGAGCCAAAAGCGTGCAAAGAGCAACAACATGGACAAAGGATAAACCCTAGAGTTCTTCTGATCCCTTGAAGAAGAGGTGTGCAGAAGAGTGAAATGGTCTATGGGGCAAACCTGTCAAAAATGTGATACATAGTTACTGTCTGTGATTTCAGGAAAAATGAATTGAAAAATTAAATTGGCACTTAAAGTATAGGGATATTGCTTTTGACATTTCCAAGAGTTCTTTACTGAATAAGGATTTAAAGCATCGAACTAAAAATTTGGTCTCAACTATTAAGTATCAGCCCTGTCCTAACTGTAATCTTCTAGATGTTGAAGCATTGGCTCTGCTGCTTCATCAAGTGTTGCAGCCTGCATGAAGTTTTGCATTGCCTTAGTTAGAAGAGGTACAAAACCTGATCTACATAGTTCAAAGATGACTTCAACATGCATAAATTACTTTTGGTTATGCTCATGATGGCAATGGAAATATCTCCTATTTGATACATAGGGAATCAATTGTGTGTGCTAATTTTTGTATTGTAATCTTTTTTTTGTTTTTTAAGAAACCACTGGTTTTACCTGTACCTAGGTGAACAGATTTACGTATTTGCACGTTGTTTTGTCTGGTACTGTAGCATCTCATCTCTGTGAGTGTGAAGACGGCTAAGATGTGGGGAGAAAACAGTCTTAGAGGACTGTTTTTCTGCTCCATGCAATTCTAATGTAGCCATTTACAGAGGCAAACAGTGTTGAGCCAAGTTTTAGCTTCTCTGAATATGTAACTTGTTGCTAAGCTTAGAACATGGATTGAACACGTGTTTCCTTTAACTCCAGACAATAATGCTAAGCAGTAGAATTCAAGAAATCTTTCAGATCCCTTAGAATTTTAAAAAAAAGTAATCCCACAAGCAATTTAAGTCAAGTGAAAACTGCTTAGATAGGAATCTGATTGTAAGAACAACATGTAACAAGATACACAGAGTCCCACTCTCCTCTCTACAGTTAGGGGAGCTGGTCAGCTGTAGTTGACTCCTGGAGTATGTTGCAACAGCTTCAGGTCTTTGAGTTTCCAGCCTATGTGATAGGTGCAAGAAAGCACAGGTGCTGTGAGGCCATTTCCAAAAGGATCAAAATTGTTCAGAATTCCTCCATAGAAGTTTGGCTAAAGGAAAAGAAGAGAGAAATTTTTTCTCTAGGAAGGCTTTTTTTAATTTCAGAGATCAGAAATACATATGGAAAAGGGCACTAACTTGGATTATCCTTCTGCAGGGGACTACTCTGTATAGACTGGTAGGTGCCAGCAAACCATTTCATGTGTGCATATGCACCAAGAGCATGTTGTAACTCTTGACTTTTTTTTTAGTATAATATCCCAAAGTTTCCAGGAATGCTGTAGCTGCTTTATCAGCCCTTAAAATACTTGATGCACAAGTTACATCTCTCAGATTTGACAAGAAACTGCTCTCCCTGTCTTGCAGTTCAATTCCAAATGTACAGGTGTGACAAGCTGACCAAGGTTGCTAAAATGAAAACTAGACACAAAGCCCTAAGTCTGCTAGCAGTAGATATAATGCACCTGTCAAAGATAAGGTTGCATTTTATTTTTAGGGCTTAATCCCTAAACTATTTTTTTTTTTTTACCTAATATGTTGTCTTTTTTTTTTTCACTTATTACACTACTTTTGAAGAATATATTTACATGTTTTGTAGTCTCTATTATGACCATAATGCTTTATTCTCATTTAATAAACCCTCCACAATTTCTACATCTTCTTCCATTTTAGAATTAAGTGCTATAGCTTTTAAGGTTTGGAGTGAAAATAGGAGGTATTGAATGGCATAAGAAGTGAACTGCAGGGAAGATGTAGCTTGAATTTATGGATAACGTGAATTTAGGAGATAATGTACCTCTCCATAATGTAACTATTAACTGCTGCTCTGGGCGAAAGCACGATGTGAAAGAGTCATAGAACCTAAATTTTATTTCCTTTAGAGAGAGAACACTTCCCAACTCTAAACCCAAACGACTTCAAGTAAAGATTGTTACATTTTTAAAGCTAGAAGATTGAATCAAAAAAGCAGAGTGTAGGCAACTACACTATCTGAAGAGGGACCTGGTTGTCTGTACCACACTCAAGAAGCTGTTCTGTCTTGTAACTGTGTCATTTGCAGTCTTTTTTAGTATGTGACAAAAGACTTGGGGAGAATCATTGATGCAGATGAGTAATAACATCTGTAGTAGCAACATGGTGGGCTCCATGGTGCTCAATATTCCACCTGCTCTTTCCCCTTTCTCTAGAAGTTAAGGAAACGGGTGGCTCAGCGTATTTTGGGAGAGGGCTTTTTTGGATGTCTTTGTTCTGTACAAGAAAATAAAGAGAACGTACTTAAAACCACATCAGGATCCCTGTGCTCATGAAGATGCTCCCATATTCTT